AAAAAATCTTTTGGGGCTGAAACTTTCAACTTTACATTTCAGTGCACAGGCAACTTTTTCTTTTTCTCAGAAATGTTCAGGAAATCCATTGATTTTTGTCTGAGTTATATAGTAAAGTGAAAATAAATGGTCTCTTAAAATAACCCCCTCAACACTCATTTTCAGACTTCCCTGGTTTAATCACCACAAAAATAACTGGATTGTATGGGCAAAAAATCAAGTTTAGCATGGAATTAGTCCTCTCTAGTTAGGGACCGATCTCTAATTAAAGCTTTGGGTTAAGATTTTGAAATCACCTCCTCATATTAAAAGGGCCAGATATTAGCACACAACTGTATACCTGAACATATAGATGCACAAAAAGGTGTATGATTTAGGTTTAGCAAACATGGAACCTTAAAAAGCAAGTAGTAAAATCCCCATTAAAGTCCATTTCAAAACTCACATTGACTACAGAAGTTCTCTCTTCCAATACACATTAAGCTTATCTTGTGTTCATATTATAGCACTTATCTGAAACAATTTTTCTTTGAGAAAGATGGTGATTCTTAGATGTTGTTTTTATCCCCATCAAGCAGTCTTTGCTTGTTTGTCATTTTGTGGGAGTGTGACATAGGATTGGACTGTGCATGTTACCATGATGCAAGAAAGCTGGAATTGCCATGGTCAGCCAAGTTTGTCCTGCAGGGAATGATGATAGAGTGGTTGGTTATGTGCATTCTCCTGGACTGGAAGATCTAAAAGCATTTCACAAATATCAGCTATGTGTACTTGCCACAACTGCTCTGTGGAAACCAAAGCACAGATAAATTAAGGACAACTTTTTCAAGCTTTATAGCATATGTAATCAAGTACCTTCAAACTTTAAATGCTTAATTCAACACAGATATCAGAATTTAGGCCTGTGTCTTCCTAGACAAAAGCTACAGAGTAGAATCAGTATCTAAAACAGGATTAGATCTCAAGTAAAATTTCCTTGTAGGTAATTTAGGAGTCTGCATCCCATCTTCCCAAATGTCTCAGTTTACATCTATTTGAAGTTTGATGGAACTTTAATTATGCAAGAGCTTTTAAAAAAAAATTAACCTTTTGTTCTCTGAATCACTTTGCCATTCTTAGTAGCTAAAGATCATGTTAGCCAGACAAGTAACTTGGTTCAGTTGCAGGAAGCTGGTTCAGGAGAAACTTATCTTCATGTCACTAGGAGCCGAAGAAATACTGAACACCACAGCTGGGAACTTGATCTGACGTCTTTCAGAGCATCAAGAGGCAAATGGGTGGGAGAGAGTCTGGAACTCTGAACTATGAAAAACCTTCAACTGCAGCAGTAAATTTGCATAGGTTTACTTTTGCAAGTCTATGGTCACAAGAAAAGGAGTAGAAACTTATATTCAGATGAAATTCTAAATACATAACATGAAGGTCATTCAGATCAAGTGGCCTCAGGCTTCACGGTGAATTTGCCTTGACGATGCTCCTTGTCTTAGTCCAAATGCTCTTGCAAGGATATAGGGCATTTCTAAAACCTTAGACTTTTTGGTAGATGTATCTCATTTGTACCAGGGTCCATAAAACCAAGATTATTTTCATAGGTTCTATGTCAGAGATCTACTAAGTGGAACAGAAGATGACTACTTTGAACTATTTTTTCTTGGCTAATGAATTTTTCTTCGTCAAAGTAGGAGTTTAATAACAATGGTTTTAAAAAAAAAAGTATTTAAATGAGATGAATCCTGTTAAGTTTTTATTCCCTAATCAGTCATTGACAACATCAATTAACCCATTGCTACCACGATAAAAGAGCATGTCACCTCAGCTTGGCTTAACAACATTTGAATTACTTGTGTTAACCAATTCATAAGAATGAAAATAAAGCAGGATATGTAGGCTGACTTAGTTCAGTGCAGATTAAATAAGACATATATACTCAAACTTTTCAGTAAGTATGAAGAGAAGTATTATAGCTGAGCCTTAACACAAATTCAGAGCCTCACTGACAAGTCAATATATTTTGTCAGGAGGAAGCCTAAAAATATTAGCAATTTAAGGCTTATGATAACTTATTTAACTGAAATTTATGTTTGAACTCCAAACTAAACCTGAAAAAAATCATGCCATGGAAGTCAGAGACAATATGCAGCACACAATGAAAAAAGTCTTTCAATACATAAAAGGGCTATATTTATTGCGGTAAAATAATAAAACGATAAATCCTTAAAACCAGTAATTTTGTGGCTTATTTTTTTAAAAAGTTTCTATAAAAAGCAATTGGCTCCTCTATGTTTTTTTAAAGTATAGTTGGGTTACAAAGCTTTAAAGCTAATCCTAATGATGAAAGACATTTCCACTGCTGAATTGCTCATAGCATACATTTGCTGGAACTAACCTCAACATAATGAATTTAGAGCTACTCATTGCCCCCTTCCTTCAAACAAGGAGTTAAACTTCTAAAATATTAGGTCAAGTCCCACAGATCTTAAGGAGACCATTTTCTCATAACCAATTAAATACTTCCCCCTCTCTGTATAGCAGGATCTACCCATAGTGTTCATTTGCAACACCGCATAGTATCGGTAGAAGACTACTGTTCCAATCTGGTATTATTTTAATCTTGTACCCCAAAGCAAGTGTAAGTATAACACAGAGAAATAGAAAGCAGGGCTATCCTAGATAAAAGTATTTTTTCGGTAGGTTTGTTTACCTTCACGCCACTGACTGTCAACTCAGTTGTATGTTACTAACTTTGACAAAGCCTTTGCACTTGAGGTCTTACCTCATGCTGATTTCTTTGTTGAAGTTGCAGACCAAAATAAAACCCCTTTAATTTTTCAAATGTTAAAAGAAGTGTTTAGATACACACTTTAATATAATTTCTGTGGCAATTTTTATAAAATACAGATATATAATTATAGACAAAATGCATATATAGCATTTACTATAATGATAAAAAGCTAGTCTTTGAAATGACACACCAATCACTATTTACAATATTAACTCAACTTTACAAGAAAAAAAATGTTTCAGAAAAATACTGTGAGGTTATATGCTAAAAATAATGTGAAAGAAGGAAAAAAAGTGATCAGTAAATTGTACCAATAAATTCACCAAAAAATTACAATGTAAATATTATCTTCAAGCACATGTGCACCTGTACACACACATATAATCCTGCAGTCTTTAATACAGGAGTTGTCCCTGTGGAAGGACTTGCAAGATTTAGTCTACCAGCCCCGTCCACTCAGCCAATGTTCTTCAAGGTGACACATATTATAGTGAAAAATATCTTGCTTATCCCTTTAAAACATAAGAGTAAATATAGCATTACAACCATTTCAAGCTTTGTCTAATGGCGAGATTTCAAATGCTTGCCAGAAGTGTGGTATGAAACCATGTTGCAAATGGAAGTCAGAGAAGTTGACCATTTATGCAACCAAAGATGTAATCACTACTGCATTTTAAAGCATTTCACAATTTGTCTTTCCTTTGTCAGAAAGCATTGATGACAAGGGAAAGGCTGAAAGAAAAATCAGAATCACCAAGTCCCACTGATCTCTCCCAGTCCTATGGGAGAGAGAGTACTGGAACACCTCACACTCTTGAATGTATCCAAACACCACCCTGCAAGGTGGGAAAGTGCTATTATTTGATTTTACAGACAAGGAACTAAGGCACAGAGTGGCTGAGTGAACTGCCCAAGATTATGCAGGAAGTCTGGTGAAGCAGGATAGTGAATCCATGTCTCCCAAAACCTATGGTAGAGTTTTAAGCTTCCCAAATTTGAGACTGGAGCTTTGTAGATGGGACTCCCTTTTTACAAATTATATAAAATACCTAGCCCAACTGCAAATAATGGGGAGGAAGCTGTTTTTCTCCCTTTATCTCAATTCCAGTGAAGAGGTAATATAGTTATAAAATGTGATTCTTAAAAGTTAAACCAGCTAAAATGCATTTGCCAGAAGACATGGACTCTGTTAAGAAATGTAACAAGCTACTTCAATTGAAAGCTGAAAGTGAAGAACACTAAACTTACAGTTTTATTCCTTTTTATACTAAACTGCCCATGCACAACTCTTGCCATGAGGGGGGTCCTCAAATGACATTTGTGCCCACTTTAAGGTATCTCTGCATCATTCAGGTAATATGAAAAAGCCTCAGTGGTAGCAAATATAAAGCTCTCTTCTTTATGTATGAAATATCTTCTCCATGACGTGCAGGTTTAAAAAAATCTGGTAGGTACGTAGGCGAGAGTACATCTCCAAACATGTAGCAAAATGTTGATTTTGCTAGGATTGCACAGGTGTAACCAAAGTGAGAATCTTGCCAATGATTATGCTTTTGACATAGGTGCACTTTGCTGTCATCCAAGAGAACTCTGTCAGGAATGGTTTGGGGCCTGTCTACTTAAAGAAATCAGTTAAAATCAACTATGGGAAGTGAACAACTTAAATTCCATGGAGAAGAGCATTTGAGAAACAAAGCAGGAGTAACTTAGTGACAGAAAGGACATACAAAGAAAGAACGATCCCAAAGAGAGGGAAATAGGTAATACGTGCCATGCTGTGGAATCCCAAGCAAAGCACCATAGAATTTGATTTGTAATCACCCTGATCCCAATTCTCTCTGGTTACATGGGGCAGCTACTACCAAGTTCTGCTTCCAATAGCAGCTCTGAAACTGAGGGA